ACACACACACACACACACACACACACACACACACACACACACACACACACACACACACACACAGACACACACACACACACACACACATACTCTCTCTCTCTCTCTCTCTTTTAAACGACGACAATAAATCGAATCACTCTTTATTTCGCGTGTACACTTTGCGTCGATCCCTCGTACATCGGTTACAATTGAAACACGCGTTCGTTGATGCAAGCTTCATCGCCGCGGTGGATACTACAAAGCGGAATTCTTGTTTCTATCCGATTACACTTTGTTTCGTTTATACGATACCTGTTCGGTTTTCTCTTCTTCTCTCCTGTTTCATTTCTTTTTTTTCTTTTTTGTTTTCGCAACAATTTTTTTGTTTTTTTTTGTTTGCGAAATTTAACGTGGCTGGTTGTTTCGGGAAGACTCGTAACTTCGAATCGAACATCGATTGAGAATGAAAATGAATGAAGCTGCGAGTCTTACGGAAGAAGGATGTTCAAAGTGTTTAATTAGTCGTCTGGAAGTTTCGACGCGAACCAATAACTTGGACGGTGGAACTTTATCTCAAGCAGGGCTTGAAAACCACGTTATCGATTTCGGTCCTTCAAACAAACGAAGAACCATTATTCTTAATAAGGATATATGGATTCGTTCTACTTGCTAGTGTCTGACTATGAATGGACTTATTCCACTCGTGAGTGTTTGATCACATAGACTTATTCTACTTGCGAGTTTCTGACTATGAATGGACTTATTCCACTCGCGAGTGTTTGATCACATAGACTTATTCTACTTGCGAGTGTCTGACTATGAACGGACTTATTCCACTTGTGAGTGTTTCATCACAGACTTATTCTACTTGCGATTGTCTGACTATGAACGGACTTATTCCACTCGCGAGTATTTGATCACATAGACTTATTCTACTTGCGAGTGTCTGACAACATACTTATTTTATTTGCGATAGTCTGGCCAGAAATCGTCTCATTCCACTCGTGAGTGTTTGACCACATACGAATTTATTCTACTTGCGACAGTCTAACCACTCGCGGTATCATTCTACTTGTGAGTGTCTGACCACTTGACGAGTGTTTGACTGCGAATGGGATCATTCCACTTGTGAGTATCTGAACACGAGCGAATTATCAGGCCGGAAATCATTTACCGAGCATTGTCAAGAAGCTGTTTTAGCAGTTTAATTCCCGATATCGTCAAAGGTGTCACGTTCATCTTCTGACCCAGTTCTTACGTCAAGAGTAATGGTTTTTCTCCCTTATGTGCACCACTTATGCCATTGTGTGGATGTTACAAGGGGAGGATCTTTGCTAGGGGGAAAAAAATTATATCAGAGTCTTTGTGTTTCGCGTATCAGGAAAGCACACGTCCGTCCACGTGACACGATATCGGACGGATATTGACGGAAGAGAAATATTTATTTATCCCTCGTGTGTACGACGAGGGAGATGATCAACTCAGTATCTGGTTACTTGATCGCAGAGGTTTCAATCAGTTGGGCGTACTCTGCTAATGAGAAGCTTCATTGGAAATATTTCTTCTTTATAGAGACAAAAGTTTCATCTCCTACCTTTTCGCCCTATAAGTTCATAAAATAACGTGTTCTAATAAAATGTTAAAAATACTGAGACAAACTAGCGTATTTTTATTTTCGCATCAGTAAACGAACGTTTCTCAAATTATTGTTCTGTTTTTTTTTTGTTGCAGGTATCACAGGTATAGTCCAGTAATCTGCCACTTTGTTCGAATCCCACGCTGAGCACGGGCTGAATTATCGAAATTCCACTATACAAATCGAGATTTACCTTGTAACGCACGCACTTAGTAAGTATCAGCTCGGCATTTTCTAACTACAACATCCCTAACTACAAACGAATTTGAAAAGCAAAAATATATAACTGTCGGTAATTAATTTTCCCGAGTATTCTTGTTTCCTTCGAGCAATTATAAAACGAAAAATGCGAGATCCGTTATTTCGGCGAGTTCGTTAATTCCGCAACAGCATTAAAAATGCAAAAGCTTCGAATTTCACTACCTAGCGGCCAGTATAGAATAACAATTTTTTCCCCCACCGCGTGTTGCTAGTATCACCTTTAATTTCCTAATTATTCCCTGGCGGCGGTTTTATCAAAAAGCAGTTAGACTTCTCGTGCCTCGGCTCCTCGGAGGTTTAATAAAAATTTTAATCTCACTGGGTAAATAAGCCACGCGGGCAATGAGTAAGAGAGAGGAACTCCAGAGGTTGCAAAACTCCGTTCTGTTTCTTCCGGTGCATTTTCTTCTTCTTGCTATTTGCCGGTTTAAAAGGAAGACAGCCGAGTTGTCTCTGTGGTTTGTCTGCAAAATGGACCGCAAAAATTAGAGGAACGCCGCCGGTGTCGCCGCTGGTTTCGAAGCCAGATTCAGGCACGCGTTCGACTTCCCAAAATCGAGTTACTTCCCCCTTTTTTCTTTTTTTCCCTTCTCCGTACCTCGGGAAATACTCATTAAATAACGCGTGGTCGTTCGTACACAGCAGAGACCGAATCGGTATTACGGTAAAATACCGGTATGTTTAGGTTACTATTCGATTACGTTTGATGAAACCGAAATTGTGCGAATAACCGGTATGATGCTATCAAGACGATGTTAGGTCGGTAGATGTATTTCGGTATAATATCGGTAAATAAAATATTAATATATTAGAAAAGGAAAAGGAGACAATGATTAAATGTTTTCATAAAGCTGCCGATAGTAAATTTGATGACGCTTACACACGTATCCTTTATTATTTCTAATACTAATTCATCGTTGTATCTCCATACAATATCAGCCACGATACTCTTACTTAATTTTAAAAGATGACCGATTTCTCGATACGTTTCTCCTTTTTCTCGGTGAAAAATGACTAATTATCGTACGTCGATAAATCGAAAGAGGAGTTGAAACAACGATTAATCGTAGAATGGAAGAATATTTCGCTAAATTACATAAAAAAAATTACTGGAAATATGCCTAAGCGTCTGCGATATATTATTGAAGTTAAGGGCTACCTGACAAAATATTAATTATTGTTTATGTTAATAATTTTCAGGTTCAAATATTGTAGTTTTTCAAATGTCTGAATATTTTTGCCACGCTACATTTCGACATAGTTCAGTTTATTGTTTGACATTAAGAAAAGTGTGTGCAATAAATAAATAAAATTTATGTTACTATAAACTATAATGAATGTTCTATTATATTATTAAAAAATTAATCCAAATTTACTATTGCAAACAATCGAAATCCACAACAATATTTTGAATAGCATGATGTCCGAATATTAATAAGAGTCACTGTACGTAGAAAATGAAAAATGTGTTTTGGTCAGTAAAGCGGTACCGTACCGGTATATATTTCGGTATTTTTACTGTTGTGGACATCAAATACAGATAAAGTACGTATGAAAATACCGGTATGACCGTCTTATACCGGTGTTAAAACCGATTTCCCAAATAGCGGTTATATTACGATAATGAGGGAGTAAATACCGGTATAATACCTAAACCTCACAATATTTCGGTTTCAGTCTCTGGGTGTAATACCCAAACCTCAAAATATTTCCCTTTTTAGTCTCTGTTCATACGCGGACCAGAGGCTTTTATTTCAGGCAAACGAAAATTTATCTCCGCGGAGGAGTATGATTATCTCTATCGCGCGAGGTGTAATTAAACGGAATAACGAACGGATCACGGCTCTCTTCTCTTCAAGAGTTTCTCAAAATAAATGCCGAAAATTCATATATATACAATAACACGGTGTGAAAAATACGGGCGAGAAAAACATTTTAACGAGATTCTCCCCTATATTATAACGTAAAATATCCTATATTTTTATATCGCGGAGTGGCTAAATGAAACAATCGTTTCAAAAATGGTGATAAATAATTTTTAAGAAACATCCAGGACACAATAACTATTTGCACATAATCTACATTCAATTTTTTTATCTAATGGATACTTGACGAGTCTTCAAACTCGACTCTTTCAAAAAACAAAGCTTCACGCGAGAAAAATATCACTTCATGTTCCCGACTTGCTCTCTCTTTCGCATAGAATTACCTACGGTTGAAATTATTTTATATCAAGTATTGTAATAACCACTCCATGACCTGGATCCAACTCTTTAAATAAAAATCCATCTTCTGCTTAAACCCGACTAGTCTCCAACCACGATTCTCACGAAAACACAGTTTTGATTTAATTTCTCACACAGACCGCGGTTGAAATTACTTTATACTGCAATAGTTATTATAATCTGAATTCAATTTTTTAAATAGAAATATGCGGTCTTCAAACTCGACTTTCTCGAAAACAGAGTTTCCAAACACGGGAGAAAATACCTATATGTTTTCCACATAGAACGAATTTAAAGTGTTGCGATAATTATTACAATCTGAATTCAATTCACACAGTTTCCAAATTCGATTTTCTCAAAAAAAAAAAAAAAAAAAAAAAAAAAAAAAACAATTTCGTTTTCTTTTTCGCGTAGAATCACCGCGGTTGAAATTACATTTTACGGTATCAGTTGTAATCAGTCGGTGTAATGCGGGCGCACGTTGGCCGAGGGATCGAGCTCAGAAATCCGTGAAGTTTCTTGTTTGATCGTCGAATGCGGCGAGATTTTAAACAGAAATCCAACGTGTACTCCCGCCGGCACAATGAGGCTTTGTCTCATTTAGCCCGACGGTCATCGACAAAGGATCGTCCCGCGCTTTAGAAATCAAATAGCCCCAGTTGAATGCCAGGACCAATTCCATTTCGCCTCGGCGAAGGTTTATGGACGGAATAGGGCAACGCTTTGAATCTTGCTGTAACTTTAAAGACGCTTGGCCAGCTACAAAAGGCACCGCGAAATATGGAATAAAACGAGGATACAGCCTCGTTCCTTTTCCACCCTTCCCACCCTTCTTTTTCTCTCTCTTTCTCTCTCTAGTTAGTCTCCTTCGAGACTTTTTAATGAAACTTCGTCGACCGAGCGCGTTACACGGATCGTTTGGAAGTTCGCGGAGAAGATCGTGCGGAACACGTGGAACTCTGCGTCGGTTAAGAAGATTCGAAATCATTGGGGATTTCAACGATATCCCCGGGATCTCGAGTTTTACTGGAATTTTAACGGGAATGTTTCTCCGTTTCTTCGCGGGAGTTCGGAAAAATTGCTGCTGGTATTTTTTCTTCCACAGTTAAGTGTTATTATTAAAATGACGAAATATTAAATAACTTGATATCGACATATAACTTTTGTTAGAAAATAGAGTTTTCTATATAAATTTATAAATGACACCTCGTGTACTTTATTATATAATATATTTATTATATATTTATATTTATATAATATATTTGTTACATTTATATATTTATATATATTTATTACATTTATATATTTATATATATTTATTATATTTTTATATTTATGTAATAAATTTGTTATATTTTTATAGTTATATAATATATTTATATTTATTATATTTTTATATTTATATAATATATGTAATATATTATAATTTATATTATATTATATTACAATTATTATTATATATTTATACATATATATTTATATTATATTGTAATTTATATAATATATCATAACTTATATTATAATTATTATTATATATTTATATTATATTATAATTTGTATAATATATTTGTTATATTTTTATATTTATATATATATAACTTATATAATATATTTATATAGTATATTTATTATATTTTATTATATTTTTCTATTCTCTTTACATGAATGTCTCTTGTGAGAATTTCGCGTTTCAAGCGAGTTTCAAAGTTTCTTAATTCATTCGTAAAGGCAATACGCATTAATTTCATCATTGATGACGCGAACGAACCTCGATAGATCGCGATTAACTGGCCAAAGTTTTTAATGAAACAATCGCGAACTTAGGCCAGTAAATTTTGTCCCAGTCAGTTTTTGACCTACTTTCTCACGTAGGGTCAACGCGTGTGCCATTCTAACTCTCTCTCTCTCTCTCTCTCTCTCTCTCTCTCTCTCGCGTGTGTGTGTCTACGGAGTGTCGTGCGTAATTGTGAAACGCGCAGCATCCAGAAAACGCTAAGAAATATTCATGAAATTTCACGAAGCTCGAGAACGGCGCGCCCGTTCTCTATTTTTCCCCCGTTTCGCGAAAACTTAATTGGACCACCTTTATTGCGGTTCCGTGTCGTTCACAATGGAGCACGACGAAACGCAACCCCCCGCAAATTGGACGAATTTCTTGATCCACCTTATTTCCCGCATCAACCGTGGATTAATCTCGCCCGCTGGATCTGGTTTTCAATTATGTCGCGGTTTGAAAGAAATCGCTCTGGAACTTGTTTCTTTGATGGACTCTTTTTATTTTCGTTTACGGCGGACAATCCATTTGTCATAATCTTTCGTGTCAGGTGTGTTATTTTTAATTCAGGCTGAAATCTTACGCCTGTGGCCTTTCCACTCTGATCTCCTCTCGAGAATTGCATTCTCTCTCTAAGGTTTACATTCCTTTTTAATTCACGTGCATTTCAAAATTGTACAATTCTCTTCTTGATTTAAGCTAATTCTTCTCACTTTTCGACCTGTTCATTTAATCGAGAAATAAATTGTTTCGTTTCATTTCGTTCGTTTTCATTCCCTGTTTCGATCAAATTTACGAACAGAGCGCTCATGAAGTTCAAAATAGAACAAAGTTCATCGTCAAAAGCGACAAAAGTATTCGAAAAACGAGGCTAACTTAATAAATACGAAACAACAGCGGATATTGTTTAGCAATAGTGTGCTAGTTTTTCTAATTATTGTTTTTAAATTTCCCTGCAGATTTTACGATAATCATAACCCGATAGTTC